GTCATGTTTCCACAAACTGCTTGCTTTGTAGAACAGAATTTCCCCTAATAGATTACCCATTTAAATATGGTCACTGCATTTTCATAGTACATTCTGTTTATTTCTATCCCGTTATTTTGTGTTTGTTGTTTATGTTAAGTGCAATGTCTGTCTTATGTTAGTTGTACTGTTAGTTAGGAATAAATTTATGTATTTTACACAACTTCAGCATCCATTCATTGAGTGCTTACAACAGTAACTGCCTCTATGTGAACTGGCTACTAAGCTCTGAAACCTCAAACTCGCCTGAAATATCGCAAGACTCTCTCTCGACAGCCGTGAGGGGAGCTTTGCTACCAATCGTTTACATTACCTGGTGATGCAGCTCGCTAGACAAGCATTCTAACCCAGGTTACTAAGCGATACTGGTAATTAGTGAATCCCATTTAAGTCTCACACTAACAGACTCACAGGGATTCGCAGTTGAATTTGGAAGAACCAATCATTCAACATAACAATTAGTAAATAATCATCATTAAATAATAATGAATTAAAATTTTATTAATTTCAGTACATATTGGTGGAGATATAAAAATTTACCTGAGCTAATTATTCCTACATTTGGTTCCCACAAAGACCTGCTTGTTCTCCTTAACAGTAATTAAGGCTTTTCAATTCAGAATGATGTTGTTTGTTGTGTTGTGCCCCACTGCTGCTGTAACAAGCCTCAGTCTTGACTCTGACTCTCCCCTTTAAGGTGGTGCTGTCCCCGTCACCCTGACCAGGATTCATGCTGGATGATTCATGGATGGAGTTTTTTAGTGTGAAGAGAAAGAAAGTGAATAAAACAAAAATGTCTCATTAAAAATGGGAGCCCTAGGATGTGTGGCGGTTAGAGATGTGGACTGATGAGGATTTTGCTTTTCCAAAGTTCTGTTATGAAAGCTGTACTTTCTGTTCCATGTACAGGGTAGTGATATGTAGCAATCATGTGCTCCAGTCAAATGTCCAACTGCATGAATAATAATGGTGGCTTGTTTGGATAAAATATTTTAGGCTGAATACTTCAAAGCGTGATCTGGGTAAGCTAGAGAGGAAACAGGGTCTTACATGAAGCAGGTATTGTTCTCTCTGTGTGGTTTTTACTCTTTGCACTGTGCTGGGCTCACTTTTGCAGTCAGTGGGTCAGTCTTC